TTTAAATATATTTACACATGGTTTGTGTATATCGTATATATATTATTCATACCTTCGGTGTATAGGACGCAATCAGATTTTATACACCGAAAAATACGGTAGTTATTTTCCAGTGCTGTGTATACCAAAGTTAATAACACTGTTACAGAGAAGTAATAAATATGATTAAGCCTGTTTTATTGTTTAATGTGACCCAAGTTTTTTGTGAAACACAAAAAATAAAAATGTGATAGCATACATTAATTTGAATGTGCTACAAACTGAAATGTTCCCATTATTTTCTGAACCAATCAGAATCATCACCAAGTGTCTTAAGTTTGTACTTGTTATGTGTCCTCATAAGTTATATTTAAAGGGTGATTTTATCATTGTTTATTGACAATATTTTTTAGTACCGTACATGGTGAAAATAATAGAAGTTTATTAAGGAAAACTTAAAATGAATTTATGAAAGTATAGTATGGGTCCTTTGTGTTGGGAATTTTACAATTGTAATTATTCAGGTTTAAGTTTTTGTAGTTTTTTAGATTGACAGGGTATTCATTGGCACTGCTGCTGTCAAATCCAGAAGTGTAATGTTTGTGATGAAACATTTCTAATAATATTTTTATAAATGTATATTAACAGTACTGTTTTCAATCAACAGTAATGTGTTAAAATAGTTAAGACAATTACTGAAACATTCCAGCAAAGAAGGACTCCTGATTATAGTTTCTCATGCATAAATGATAGTTTTAATTGTCTTTACAAGCACAGTTTTGTGCCATGTGTGTGCAGTAGACCTAAACAAATTCCTAATCTTGCCAGCTTAGTCATTTAATACCATATATCACTTTTAAATTTATGATGCATGTATTTTTACCATATTTCCTCCTGTGAGATAATTTTATTTCAGTACTGTTTATTACCACAGTTGCCTTCTTTATAGTTCACCCAGTTCGAGCTATCCTTGCAGAATTGCTCATTTTCTTTGATGTGTCCTGGTCACTTGTGGAAGATTTGAAACTACTTTTTTTTTATTCTGTAGAGAACCCAGAAAAGTGATATTATCGAAAGGAGAATTAGGTTTGGGGTTTAACATTGTTGGTGGTGAAGACAGAGAAGGTATTTTCATCTCTTTCATTTTGGCTGGAGGAGCTGCTGACCTCTGTGGGGAACTGAGGAGAGGAGACCAAATACTCTCAGTAAGAAATGCTTACCTACTGTAGTTATATATAAAAAACATTTAAGGATCGGTTGCTTGTGTGTAGTTTAAATGGTAAAGCATTGATCAAAGAACACTGTAACTGAAATGGCATATTGGTATTTTGGTTTAGTTATTGTTAACTAGATTTTCTGTGTCGATAACAAGGTATTGCAGTGTTGTACTTTATTTTGTAAGTTTTATTTATAATAACTACAGGTGTCAAAATTAAAATTTTAACCAAATATTGATCAAAAGTTAGCTTAGCATTTTACTACGAAGTTATATTAAACAACCAAAAGTACCCGTCCCCAATGACGGAAAAAGTTTAGGATAATCTATCAATTCCAATTATTTCATGGACTTTAAAAAGGTTAATTAGATTGCACTTATGGTTTCACTCGGAGCCAAAGTTCTGAGCTACTTATACTGCCCACCGTGAAAAGTAATTGTTGAGCATTTCAGTCATGCTAAGAACCACTCAACAATAACATAGGGTAAATCTACATTTTGTTTTTCAAGTTATGTCACATTTTGAAATGTGAATGATAGTGTAATTAATTCCTAACATTTTAGTGTAGAATATCCTGTTTTGTGAATGATAGTGTAATTAATTCCTAACATTTTAGTGTAGAATATCCTGTTTTGTGAATGATAGTGTAATTAATTCCTATCAATTTAGTGTAGATTATCCTGCTATATGAATGATAATGTAATTAATTCCTAACAATTTAGTGTAGATTATCCTGATTAGCATCAACATTATTCATGCCTTTTCTCCCATCATTTCAAAAGTAAATGTTGAACTTTGCTTGCATGCACAGCTTTTTAAATTCAGCATGGAAAGTGGCTGCTGTAAACGGGAGACAGACGAACACTCGGGCAGACACCATGATTTGCAATATATATATATATATAAGATATGCTGCTATTTTAATGATTTATTGTTGATAATTTCCAAAATGTTATAGTCAACATGCAATGATACTTCCTACAAGATTTACTAAACTACTTTAGGTTATTATAAAACAAATAGCACAAAAAATACTATTCCCATTTGATTAAAACTTGACTTGCCTTTTTCACTTTTATTTTATAGGAATCCATCTTCTTTTCATTACCAAGCCTCCTCAGTTATAAAACACATGACCCTGTTATTTTATAATCATTCTTTACTTCATTAATATATCAAAACTTACATTACTAGTATTCACCAGTTGTATTTATGTTGAATCTATCTTACTACTGTTCTACTCTATTCATGTTCAAAGATGTATTATTTAAAGCTTTTTTTTTTCCATTGATGTGAAACCATAATTATTTTATACTTATACTTTATCAATGTATAATTCTACATTATCAGATCTATGTTTGTTGCACATTGATTTAATCATTTTTTTATTTAGTACTCGACTTTCTCATTTCATATATATGTATTTAAGACCGCATTGTCAGTAATCTTCTCCTATTTCAGTAATTTCTACTCTTACTTTATTAATATTGTTACATATACATTCCTTTAGCATTTCACTCGAATTCATAATTGACTTACTTCACTTTTGTAATAATTCTACTCACACATTAACAGTATTATAGAATATTCCATACATTTTAAATACACTGAAATGTAAATTTGCTTTTGTGTGGATTGTTCATGTTTATACAACGTAATGATCAGATTTTACTGTGACTTTTGGGTTAAAAACAAGCACTACCTATGGCCTCATTGTTTAGGTGATTGGATTCTGTTTAAATAGAAAAGAATACTATTCATAGATATATTAACAAAATGAGGTAGGTTGTTTTTGAAAAGTGGTTATATACTAATAAAAGGATAAGAGATACAATTTGAGTTTAATCCAATTTTAACATGATATAATAAGAACTAATAGATACTAATGAAATGGAATAATGTAGAGTCAAATATGTGACAAAATAAGGCAGTATGTTAATATGATTGACTTAGATATAATTTGTTTATATATTAGTGAAGTGAGATAGGATACTTAAAAATGTTTGATATTTAATTATCAAAAAAACATTAGATGCATTTTTGATATGGCAACCCAAGTGGAGACTCGTGTTGGTGCATGATGCTTATCAACCTTTCACCCTTATACTTTCCTTCAAAGATGCTTTATGAGATTGTTATGATATATAGTATTGTTCAGTATTATTTTCAACTAGTAAAACAAGGATTTAATATTAAGAAGCACAGACAGTTTTTGTTTAAATGGAAAAGCAAGACTTTTTTTATTTACTTGCCATTTTAATTTTATGTTTACTTAGGTAAATGGAATTGATCTTCATCATGCTACACATGAACAGGCAGCAGCGGTATTAAAAGGTGCTGGACACAGTGTAGTACTTGTTGTACAATATAGGCCTGAAGGTATGAATTTTATGTCTTATAAGCAAGAAATAGTAGGGTTTTTGTAACATTAACAGAGGTTAAGTATGTTATGTTAAGACGATTTATGTGCCTCACCACATCGTTACAGCCCAAGTTGCTAGATCTGGTCATGCTCTATTTGATGACCTTGCATTTTGACAATATTCCTGCAATATAGTTTCCATTGCAAAAGGCTCCATCATAAGGCTGTCATGTCCAAAGCACATCACTCCTTCTTGCAATGTTTCCATAATTTATTATATGAGGACAATGGTTTCCACTGCCTGTTTCAACAGTATGATTGCACAAAAATCCATATACACTGTGTTTGGTAACTTAACCAGCATGCCTTTATATGACATAACATGAATACCCATTTTGTTCTCTATCTGGTTGTGGTGTGAAATGGTTAAATGGATATGTCATGGAAGTAACTTATGAACTCATGATATGTTGATTTTCCTGATGTAAATCCTTTCTGGTTATATTGTGTACTGTTGCCTAGGGCATGTGGAAGACTTTTACCATTGATCTTTGTTTTTGTAGATTCTCACCTATTACAGTAGACTACACTTTGCTTACCATGGCTTGAGTATGACTTGTGACAGGCCCCTTTCTAAATTGTCTTGGTACTACAGGTTGATCCATATTTCTTTAATTCCCAATGCCACTAAGTATCTTCATTTTGGAAATCCTAAATCCCCAATCTGAACACACCTCCATGATCTGAATTTATAAATATTTTTCACCAGAAAGGGCCGTTACATACCTTTGCTAGAAACAATCAGTTTTTGGTATCATCACACTTATGAAATATCAAACAGTGAAAAAACATAATTTTAATGCATGCTGTTCAACCAAAACTTTATATTAGCTGTGGTTATCACATTATTTACTGATTTACGTATTCATAATTGTTTTAATATAATATACATAACCCTCTGTATTTCATCTATGGTCCTAATGCTCCAGTCAGTCTTTTATCCATGCATCTATTAAATCATACAGGTCTTACTTTTTAAAATTTATTTAGTGCATTTGATGTAGTTCTTAAATATATGTTTTTATTTTGAATCTGTTTTAAACAATGTTTATTTCCACATTTGGAAGAGTTGTTTGATCTGAACATTTTGATTTCTTTCAAACAGAATACAATCGATTTGAAGCAAAGATTCATGATCTGAGAGAACAAATGCTAAATACTACAGCAGGTAGCTTAAGAACATCTCAGAAACGTTCACTATATGTTAGGTAAGTAGTCATGTCACCAATATTGATGAACTGTGTGACACACACCTTTTTTTTCATGTTTGAGTGATCTAAGGCATATTAAATTATGTATTTTTCATCAGTCGTTGTTTTTAAGTCATGTTAGTAGCTAATACCAATGTTATAGGGAATAATCACAGTGACTAATAAAAGAATCAGAGCATTTATTACTTCAAATACTAAGTCATTTAGATCCCTTGACAAAAAAAATATTTCAAGATAATGTAACTCTTGTGAGATACTGTTATAAACATTTCTATAAGCTTTGGCTTAATATGCCAGTGTCTTGTAAATATTGTTAGTTATTTTTATGATTTTAAAGACCTTAGTATTTTAGAAGTGAATTTATTAGACATATAAAATAGGCACTGTGATAAATGTTTTTAGTTTTAATTTTATAAACTTCTAAATCATAATTGCTTTTTTCTATTCAAATTCTTATGAAATAAAAATGAACATCTATCATTACGTGCTGATGTATTATTTCAATAAATTAAATTTGCTATATAATTTAACCAGATTGAATAACTGATCTCTTTTAAGAGATATTTGTTTCAATTGATGTTTTTATAGGAATTTTATGAATAATGATTTTAAAATAGTAAAGATCTTAATTGTAGAGGATATACCAATGTTAAATCTTCTACCTGACTGGATATTGCAATTTAAAGATTTTTATTTGTTTAGAGCACTGTTTGACTATGAACCCTCAAGGGATAGTGGTTTGCCTAGTCGAGGGTTAGCCTTTCAGTTTGGTGATATTCTGCATGTCATAAATGCTAGCGATGATGAATGGTGGCAGGCTAGAATCATACAACCTGATGGCAAAGATGATATTATTGGTATTATTCCTAGTAAAACCAGGTAAAAAATATAATACATTAGAATTTTGCCTAATGAAAATAACTTTGGTAAATCTTGACAAAATTGAGTAAGGGATGTGATTTTACTTGGGATCATAATACCCGTTGTTTTTAGACCATTTATATCTCTTGGGATACTGATGGTGGAGAAAGTAAATTGAATGAATGGAATTATATTAGTAAAAACTGTGTATAAATATCACTTTGAAACTGTAAATTGGAGTGTGTATTTTAATGTTAAGACAACATTTTCTTTAGTAGTTCAAAAGCTACTTATTACAAACCGATCACTAAGTCATTGGGTTTGTTGTTGTTACACAAGTTGCTATTGTGAGGTCTATGAAGGGGTAGTATGAATTTTAGTATATACTTATGTAGAAGTCACAGCTGACCCAGTTTCATTTAAGATTTTTGATTAGAATTTTTAAAAATTACATACACTTGTCAACAGTTTTCAGAAGTTATTAAATTGTGAAAAGAGATAGTGTTAAGTTAAAAAAAATATGTTTTGAGTCATGCTGTCATAAAGTATTATAGACTGATCATTGACAATAAATAGCTGAACTTATTTCTCAATACAAGTCTTATTTAAAAATGAATAAAGGATGTGTCTTTTTGTGTTTCTGATTCCTTAGCCCTATGTACATGGGTTGGGTTAAAGTGCACATGTTACGATCTTTTACAGATTGCCATTAAACATTATTATATCATATATTTGATGTTACAGTTATCAACTGTTCATTTTACCCTATATAGCCGATTTAACAGCAGTCTGTACTAATGAAGAGTAAACACCAGATACAACATATAGAAATGTATTTTGGAGGTTATGCAAATGCATTATGCCAACTTGACAATGGACAAATGTATTTTTATTCTTCGAATTGAAATCAGTTTGCACTCCAACTTGTCAGAGTCTGAGTCAGACTGGCATTGTCAGTTCACAGACATATCTTAAATACACATATATTTGTACATTTTACTTAAAGCTTGCCATATTTTGTTTAGATACACATAGTAAATTCAGAATTATGATCAACATTTCTTCTCGAATACAAGATAAGTCTAATGAACCAACCCTAAATGTACATAAATAAGAAACATATATAGAAAATGTATACAACATTGTTTAGAGATCATAATCACTTGGCAATGTACTGGGATAACAAAACATTATTTTAAGAAAATTTCACTGGAACTCTAAACTTTTTTCAGCTTATTGTTAAAGTTTTTTGATGTTTTTATTATGATTTTAAGTACAGATATACTGTTCAAAGTTTTAGGTGCAAACTTAATTTTTTCTTGCACTTTTTTAAAGAGTTGAAAGGAAGGAAAGAGCAAGATTAAAATCTGTCAAATTTGAAGGAAAATGCCAGTACAATGGAAAAGTAAGGCTCCTTTCTTTTTAATTACATGCAGGAGATTAATCAGAATAACGATGATTGAGTAACAGCAAAAAGAATGCAGTGAAAAATTTTGTATAAACAATTATAATCTTTTGTTCATTTGGAAATAAGAAACATAATCTTATAGTTATCATAAAACACTAGATATGGAACTGACAATCCATAGTTTTAGATTTATTATAAGATTCAATAATCAGTATGTTTTTGTTTTTTATTGTAGATACTTTTTTATTACAATAGATCAAAGTTAGGTACATTGTAGAACAGGATTTGAAATTTATCTATTCCTCATTGTTCTTGTATCAAAGTTCTGTAATTTAAACTTTATGGTGCATAATTTTGAAATTAAGTGCAGAGATTGTAAAGCTGCACAAAATCTAGGAGAAGAGGTACTTCTTTGTCTTATGTTTTTTTTTTGTAGAAGAAGAATATGATATACACAAAAGATGTTATAAAATACTTATTTATATCTTAAAAAAGAAGTTTGAATCGATGACTAAGAACCCACTTTGGTACTAATAATGTTTGGAGATGGCTTGAATGGGTAATGAAGAAAAACTTTTATATAAGTTTAACATAACAACAAATGTACAACGTTTCGACAAGGTTCTGTCATCATCAGGTAGAAAGAAGTGTTTTTTTTTGTTGTAATGATTATTATATTTCTTTACAGCTGAGTTTGGAGAGAAAAAAGAAAAACTTTTCCTTCTCAAGAAAGTTTCCATTTATGAAGAGTAAAGATAATATTATTGATGATAGCAGTGATGGTGAAAGTAAGTTATAATCTCTTACAACTCATTTTGTTCAAGTTTTAGTGTTTTAAAGGTTGCATGTCTTTTACATATTGAATTACCTAACTGTTTAAACAAATTAAAAGACTTTTTACCGTGATGAAACTAACACCATTAGGTGAGTGGAAAGTTCAAATTATCCTCTTATAATCTTTTTATATCTATTTTAGAGAGTACAGTACATGCAACCCCTGTGTATTTACTTCCCGTATGTTCAATTTCCATTTTTACTAAAAATCATTGTTTAGGAAAAACAAATAGTAAGTATAATGCTCTTTACAGTGGTACAAGTAATGTTTTGAGTGCTAAGTTAATAAGTATGACAAACTATAAATGCATATCCTAATGCAGCACTGACTGGCTTAACTTCATACATCTTTTTGATTTTGTAAGCAAACTGTTTTTCTTATCCATGTTGTTTCACTGGTTATTCAACAGGAGGAATTAAATTAGTTCATTGTTTAAGTAGTGTCGCTTCAGTGTTGAATCAGCTTGACAATACTGGCTAAGCCTGATTTTATTATTAGATAAAATTGTTAAAATCAATAAGGTTTTATTTCATAATACTAAGTAATTTTGCTCCCAATTAAAAAAAGGTCAAGGGATCTGGTGGCTACCTTGTTTGTCTGTCTGTAGACATATAATTTTCGTATGATAACTATAGAGTACTAAACAGTAGATGTTAATCACACTTCATGGTTCATTTACCTTGGGGATGAGGAAGACCCATATTGATTGCAGGGTTCAAGCACCAAGTTTACCATCTACAAAATATGTAAATTTGACTTTTGTGAAAAAGAAAATATAATATCAAATTAATGCACACACACATACAGGTACACCATATTTATTAACACAACAACACCAGCGGTGGGGGGTAATAGTTGATGATTCAACCATTGTACTGATGGTTACTTTTCTTTTGCTAGAATGCATGATGCTAGAATGAAAATTACTAAAAACTGTGTAAGTGCCCCATTAAAGTATTGCATGGTTATGTGTATAATTAGTGTATGGTATTACGTTAGTAATTTTTAAAACATATAGTCACTATATCAAAATGGTGTGATAATCATCTCAGTGGAATGATATTGTTTTGTAATTTAGTAGTTGTAATTGTTCATTGAAGATTTGAATAATGTTTCTAAGTCATTATTTTTGTTCACGCTGCTTTGATCCTCACAGTTTGTGAAGTATATTGATTGAAAACTTTTTTTTGTCTTTTTTTCTTGCTACCAGCAGATGGATTACCATTACATGGTAGGTTGATGGTAGTGATTTTTTTTTTCCATACATCTTCTTGAAGTTATATTTATAAACCTTGTCATGAAAACCTACAGAAAATAAGCTCACATATACAGGTTTTCAAGTTATATTGTTAATGTATTTGCAGCGTTGTTCTTTATAGGGTATTTCATGATTTTTTTTAGATATATTTGATACCTTTTAAATGATATAATATTTTACTGTCATTATGTGGATCTTTCCTGGAAAAAGCTAGATGTCAGTATTATTTTCTCATGCTGTTTCAGCTTTTTTTATTTTTTCAGTTGTATTTATTTGTCTCATGATTTACTTGTTCAATTTTTTGTTGTTGTTGTTTAGATCAAGTGAACACTTTGGCAGCCAGTGAAAATGAATCCAGTAAGTACATTTATTGATTTTTCTTTATTTCTGAATGTGTGACTGTTGTGTTCAAAGGGGAACAAAAAACGTTTTTCTTTATGTTCAATCTTGTGTAAATAACTATAGTTTATAAAAGATAAAGAGTTTAATTTATTTTTTACCCCATGTTTTGATTTTGATTGTGTTGACATATGATGTAAGTGTAATGATTTGAATCAATAATACACTGTCTTGACCTTTGACTTTAGAAGCTGATTTGGCAAAAGGCATATCTCTTCTCTTGTAATGATATATGATATAAAAATACTAGAATACAATCAGTGACATTTGTAGATAAGAACCTTCACCCCAGACATTTAAAATTGGAAATCATTGACATCATATGGTTCTGAATATGTATGTCATGGATTGTTTTTCTTTTAATAATAAGATATCCAAATATTTCAAGCAAAGAACGTCCACCAGAAATGTACTAAGGTAAATTAAAATATTGGATTATTTGTATACAGTTATTGTTTAACATAAAAATATACTAGAAAAGAAAGCTTTATCAGCCTGTTTGAAACAAAATTATTCACTTCAAAACTAACATTAATAATATTTAAAGGTACTTGATCAAACCACTTGATACATTTTTAGATATAACAAAATTATAAATATTAAATTGCCTGTAAGTATTGAAAATCAATCTAAATTGTATAAATAACCTCAAAAAGAAATTGCACATACACAGCAAATAAATGATAATGTAACAATAATTCTCTGTGTACTATGATAGACATCTATTGAAATATATACTTTTGAACGTGTATTTGTGTTTCGAATAATGAATGCTTTCTGATCATTTTGTTTCATAAATTTAAATGATATCTAAAAAAATAAAGTCATTAGTTTACAAACCTAATTTGGTTTTCCAGTACTAGTTTGTGAAGAACTGAAGGCTCGCGTGTCTCCTTTTTGGTTGGTTAAAAGTTTGAAATATTTTATATGAACGTGAGATTGTAAAGCCAAGTTTGAAAGATCACATTTATTGTGTTGTTTAATTGAAATTTCTCATAACAAAAATGTTTTTTGGTTTCATTGTCTCTATTAGAATATTTGATATGATAATGATGATGCTTCAGAATTATCTAATGGATATTTGTTTTTGAAATAGACATGTTGAAATTGGATAAAGATTATTAATGTATGTAGGTGTTTTACAGTAAAGCGTTGTTTTATTTTTGAAGTCATTTGCAAGCTTGTTTTCTGATGTAAAACATTGTGGTTTATGTTGGATATAATTGGTGAAAATCCTGTGCATAGATTTATTTTTAATTTCATTAAATATATAAATAACCATTATTCTATTATAACAACCAAATGTATTTACTTTCAACTTCTGCAAACTAATTTTCCTTTAACTTAATTTGCTTGCTTTGTTTTATAATCAATATAGAAAATTTATGATTAATTTTTTAGTATATCTCAGTTTTGTCTTTGTGGTGTACTTATTAAAGTTGTATTTAATCTTTTCTTGAACTAAGAATTATGGAGGATAACTGACGTCATAATTAATAATGGTTGGAGATGGCTTGAATGGGTAGTGAAGAAAAACTTTAATACAAGTTTAACATAACAGCAAATGTACTATGTTTCGACAAGGTTCTGACATCATCTTGTACCTGATGATGACAAAACCTTGTCAAAACGTTGTACATTTGCTGTTGTGTTAAACTTATATTAAAGTTTTTTCATTACCCATTCAAGCCGTCTCCAACCATTATTAGTCTCAAAGTGGGTTCCTCGTCATTGAATTTGACGTCGTAATTGTTTACACTTTATGGTTTTCATAATAACAAATATATTGTGTATTGATTTGGGACATATATTTTATTTATTGTAAGGATTATTAATAGAAGAAATTTATTGTAGGAGTGACAGAAGAACCTGTCTTATCATATGAAGCAGTTACACAACAAGAAAGTAAGTTTTGTTTTCATTTCAGTCTGGCTCTCCCTCCCCTCCTGTAGTTGTTGTTTTGTTTTTCTTCATTGTTTTCTCTCAGCTATCTCTATTCTGTGTGCTACTACCAAGAATATTGTAGCATTTTGATATATTGCCAGTTCCTGAAGTAGTTCATAATATTTTTGGTCTATTTATAAAGCAAACAGAAATTTTGATAGCCTTTACTAATTTACCAAATTATTTACACAATCAGTCATAGTTTATGTCATCAGAGAAAACTATTGTTTCTGGAAATTTTACTTCATAATTTATTCAAAACTTAGATGAAGAAAATGCACCTGATTTGGTAATCAAGAAATTTTTATATATTTTTTTAGTAAGTTTCAGACAGTTTATCAGGATTATTTTTTCGTGTCTCATGGAGTTTTGCTCTGTTTCTTTAATTTCATGAATATGTGTTATTTTTTTAACAACTTTAAGAAGTAATTATTTAAAAAAGCAACAAGACTTATCAAAGATCCTACATTTGATGTTAGCTGTTTACAGCTTGATAATTGCTGGACTATAGATCCCAGTGTGTCTCGTTATAGTAGTCATTGTTGCAATGTGATAGGCTGCCATACATATTAAAGTTAAATAGTTTCATAGAATTTTCTTACATATGTTTATATATGTTTATTTTATTACCTGTACTTATAAGCAAAATATTAGTTAAACTATAGCCTTTAACTGGTCATTATATTATAAAGATGTACAATTTAATAGTTTTTTCCTTTTAAACCAATCACAGTGAGTTAGTGATTTACATTGATAATTTTTTTTCATATAAAGTACTGATCTAGTTAACTTTTATCATTTGGAGTTAAAAGAAGCTACTTAACTGTGCAACATTTATAATTGTTATTAAAATCCTTATTGTAGTTTGATTATTTTTTATACTCCTAATATAAATATATTTTAAAATAATTGAACATTTACTTAAATCTGACTGAAGTGGAAGGATGTTTAGCTTCAGCTTGTTTGCCATTATGGAATCTGTTTTTCATTTTCTCTCTGTAGTTTCTTACACTAGACCAGTTATTATTTTGGGTTTTCTGAAAGACCGAGTTAATGAAGATTTAGTGTGTGAGCATCCGGACAGATTTGGTAATTGTGTACCTCGTAAGTTTAATTTATCTTATTAATCTAAACTTTTTTTACTTTTGTTCACAAGCCTAAAAAATCTAGAGCAACAAAGAGTTTGTATCAGTTTTAAGTCTTAGCTGTTTAAGATATAAATAGGTAATGTAGAAGAAATATTTAATTATAAACCTGAGTTTACTTTTCAAATTGCTGAGAATAATGATTAATATCAGGTGGTAACAATACTAGATAGATTAAAAACAAATCTGTAGCTTTAATTTTCTACATTGAAATCTAAGATAGAGAATTCGTTAATTCTTTTATTTCACTTAATATTGAAAGTTAAGAGTGATAATTTTCAGGTTTATACTTTACCAAAATCAAGTAATGTTTTGTTATCCTTAGTTGTTTTTTTTTTTTTTTTGCTTCAGTGACAACTAACTTGCTCAGAGTAGTTAAACACAGGATCATTTTTAAAATATTAGGAATGGTGTTTTCAAATTATTCTTTTGTTTTGTGTTGGAACTTTATTTTAATGTTAGAAACTACATTAAAAAGTGATACATCACTTTCACATATTTAACTTTATGTACTGCATGTGGATAAATACTTTATAGTTACTCTTAAAAAGAACCAGATTATTAATATTATAAACAGAGAACAAAAAATAAATGATATGAGAATTTGAAGGTGAAGACAAAGGTTATGGTGAATCATTCTTCATTGAGTGACTAACTAATAATTAATACAATGGTTTTTTAGTTGTTTTTTTTTAATGGTAACGAGTAGAGAAGTTAGTATTTTTAACTACCCCAAAATCAGTTTCTCTGCTATTTAGTTTCCATTAATGTAACATATATATCTTATTTGTGTAGACTTCCTTTTTTTTTTTTACACATTCTTATAGTTTTCCATAGATAAATTATGCAAAATGAGGTTGTTTTTTTGTGACTATAAAAAAATTGATATATACAGTAGCTTAACATATAGGTTTGATCTTTCTCAGACACAACTCGTCCAAAACGTGATCATGAAGTTGATGGTCACGATTACCATTTTGTAGAATCTCGAGAACAGATGGAATTGGACATTCAAAACCACATGTTTACAGAGGCTGGTCAGTACAATGACAACTTGTATGGTACTAGTGCCAAAGCTGTACGAGATGTAGCTGAGAGTGTAAGTAATGAAACGATATTTGTGTAGCAAAAATATTTTACAAAAATTAATATTACAATATAGAGTAACCAAAATGCACCAAGTTTTTTTTTTATATAATGGTATTATCTGACCAGTCCTTGTACTACACGTATTTGCAGAACTATCTAATACTATATATTGTTTTTCTCAACAGGGTAAGCACTGTATTCTTGATGTTAGTGGAAGTGCGATAAAGAGACTCCAACTGGTTGACCTCCATCCTATTGCAATATTCATCAAGCCAAAATCTGTAGAATCAATCCTGTAAGTTTTCAAGTAAAATTACATGTTCTGATAAGCTTGTACTATAGTCTAAGTCTAGTTAACATCCACCACAGTATTTAATGATTAATATTCTAATGCTTAAGATTTTTCTATTCATATAAGTTCAAATTATGCAACTTGCTAGCTTTCTGATAAGCATACACTGTTGGACAGTGATAAATTTTCAGTCAAAAAAGACAGAGGTATGACTGACAGCATAAAGCAATGTTAATAAATAAACTTAGTATTCCAAAAATTTTTTAATTTCAAAGTCTAAGTTCAAGGGAGGTCTAATTCAATCTACACTTTGATCAACGTGTGTTATTGGGTTATACTAGTTTCGGAGAATTCCACTCCTCATCAGTAACCCTAAACACAAGTTAACCAACGAGAGGTAAGCTGGACCTATATCATAGTGAAAAGTATCAAACATACTGTTGGTGTGAACAGGCTTTGTAGTCACTATGAGAAAAACCTATACACTGGATAGTGACTACAAAAAGCACGTTCACACCAACAGTATGTTTGATAAAACAATGTTGAAAAGTTTGATGGAAGAGGGATGATTTATGAAAGCTTGTGATAGAAAGCTACCTGACTAAAGTTGCTATTCTTGCCATTTTTGTTGGCCATTTGCTATAATATTTTTTGGTACCATCAAAAGTGTTACAACAATTCCACTAATATTTGAAACCATGTATATCAGTATAACTTTTTTATCCAGATGCTTGTCATAGTGTGTATTTTTAATTTCAAGGAGAAAATTTATTTCCTTTTTAATTTAGTTTTTGTTTATAGTGTGATTAATATATGATACACTTTTCTTAATCTTAGTTAAAAAAAAGTGTTTATCACTGTTAAATTTCATTGTACATATTGTCTAGTATATGCTTAAATAGTGTTACTTGATGATTATCTCAAAATATTCGTGGATTATAGTTTATCAAGATATGTCTCAAATATCTTATTTTGTATTAAAGACTAATTTTACTTGATTTTGTTAAAATGTCCTTTTCACACAAAGTATTTGTAAATTGGTGATTCTCAGCTGCTATTTATAAGAACTAGACTTATAGGGTTATTTGCATCTCCTTGGTACTTAAAACACAATGTACAAGCATCATCTGTATTAGTATTAACTTCTGTTACCTTTTATGAAATTAGATATTAAAATTAATAATCAATAAACAATAGGTATAGGTACTTTATAAGTTGAATACTAAGGGGATGTTCTCTCTTTTTATCTTATTAAAAACATGAATTTTCAAACCTATGTTTCATTGGAATTTGAATTCTGAAAAGAACCTCTGCTCGAAAATCAAATACTTTTTCAGCTTTGCAACAGCTTTGTTAGTTTATTAAATTTATTAAATGTCTGGATTTTAAAAGGTCACTTTGTTTAACATTGCAATGTTATTCTCATGAATACTTTATTTTACTACTACTGTTACATTGTTTACTAAAATATATGTTTAGAATGATATACTATGTACAGTATGTCAAATGATACACTTCTTTGTACTTTAAGAACAACATATGTGTTTTATAGAACTGTTCAAGTATTGTCAGAGAAACTTCTAAAGATTTAATTCAACTTATAACTGTAAAGTTTCTGTGTAAGAATTACCTATGCATAATACAAAAGTAATAACGGTTTGAATGAGTGTAAGAAAATTACTATGATAGTATTTATTTTCCTTTACTCTTGATTTCACTATTACAGCTGTTTGATGGCTACTTACCAGTCTTTAATAGTTTGCAGGTAAATTAAAAACTATCAAGTAAAAGCAACATGAGATTTAAATAATAAGTAGATTGAATGACTGGATCATAATTAAATAAAAATTAAAAACATTGTTTTAAAAGTAGGAAATTTCAAATTTCAGACATTACCAAAAGTAAACCCATCAAAATTGTATAGTAATCTTAAAAGCAAAAAAAAAAAAAGTTTCACTGCACATCTAATTAATTTAAATATATGAAACATATTTTCTTAAGAAGCAGTATTAAAGCATTGTGCTCACTCATGTTTTTTTCTCTTACTTTAGGGAGATGAATAAGAGGATGACTGAAGATCAAGCTAAGAAAATCTATAATAATTCAATTAAAGCAGAGCATGAATTTGGCCAATGTTTTACTGGTGAGATTCATTTTATCAACCATTTTCTTCTAAACTTTGGAATTACAATCATTATTTCTCTATCATTGTCCTCCTGTGGGTCAGCGAGGTAAATTTACAGACTTACAGTGCTAAAATATGGGATTTGATTCAAGAGATAGCCCTTCTTGTAGCTTTGCACAAACAAAACAACATCTCTATTATTAAAATAATAGTTTATGATACTCATTTGCATTCAAAGTGAATTTCAGTTGTCAGTATATGACTATTTTATCAGTTCATTTTCCAATCTTTAGATTTCAACGAACTAGAAATCATCACTTCACGTGGCATACTTTAAACACCTGATATTTCAGTAGATGACAAATGATGGGGACTAAAAGAGCTTTTTAAGGATTTCTTGATGAAGAGCTAGATAATGATGAAATTATTATATGAATTTCTATTGCTTTCATACACACAGCTTGTTTTAATGATCTGGTTTTTTACGCTTATCAGAAAAGTAATCAAATTAATATTATCTTTACACTAATGTAAAATACGGAATTTAAACATTTTGTACAGTCATCACCCTTCCATAAAAATGTGTTACCAACTTCATAAAAAGTTGATTACTAATGAATACAATATCTGTTAAAATAGAAATATAAAACATTTTAGATGTTGCAAAGATGTTAAAAATGTTTTTAAAGGTGAGATAACACAGTTTATTGGCAAGTCTGATTTGTGTCGTATAATCTAAAGTTTGAAAAAAAATTCTAATTATAAATCAATTTTAATTATCTGTTATGTTAAACACATTAATCAAAGTAATCAAACTAATATTATCTTTACACTAATGTAAAATACAGAATTTAAACACCTTATACAGTCCTCCCCTTCCATAGAAATGTGTTATCAACTTTGTAAAAGGCTGATTACTAAAATATACAATATTTGTTTAAAAAAAACATTTTAGATGTTGCAAAGTTGTTACAAATGTTTTTAAAGGTGAGACACATAGCCTATTGGTGAGTCTGATTTGTGTTGTATAATCTAAAGTTTGAAAAAAATTTCTAATCATAAATCAAATTTAATTGTCTGTTTTGTTATACCAAGTTTGAATTAGTTTACATTATACCTTCTTTATAGTTTAAGACTTTCATGTTTTTAAATTTTTTTGTAGGCATTATTCAAGGTGATACTCCGGAAGAAATATATGTAAAAGTGAAGCATATGATTGACGAACAGTCCAGCTCCCTTATCTGGGTGCCAGCTAAAGAAAAACTCTAAGAACTTTACAAGAAAGAAGACGCAGATCGAATGATACTTGAACTGTGCATTTTATGTCACTTCTCTTGATTTGGTCTTGCAGCATTGTAAACAGTGGGAGTATATTGTGTGTGTTTGGGAGGAGTTGAAATGTTAGTGTTTTATTAAAATGAAATGTTTTTGAATGGCCAGAGGTAGACAAACTCCATTAGAGACAGATTCTATTTAGTGATGAAGTTAACCATTTACTGATGGGTTTACATTCCCTAAATGTGAAAAAACAGGACATGGACTGAAGTTTGAATATATCTTAATCAGTATTTTATCACTGTTTTATTGTAAACATCTTGTGGATTTGGTAAAAGTGTTTTGAAACGTTTTTTTTTTATTACTTTGTATTGAAAATCTCATATGACAAAAAAAAAAAAAGAGAGAAAAAGCGTCCAACATCTCATATCAAGAAACTTAAACTTAAATATGTGTATGTATGATAAAATAGACTTTTAATGAGTTTAGTATCTCTGTACAGTGTGTGTATTTTCTGTTATTCATCTTGGAACGAAAGAACAAAACATTTTAACTCGTGTACTTGAAACCAGACAAGTTTTACATTTCTACACAATTTTAATTTGAATGAAATGTTTTTATTGAAATTCAAATGTTTTAATGGGTATTTTAAAAATAAATGTTACTTAAGGCTAGAACTTTTTTTGTGTAGGCCCAAAATAGTTCCTTATTATTGGTAAAACCCACATCTTTGCATTTATGTTGTAAAATTGTATGTTTGACAGCTGTATTCATTGTTAATTGACATGGAAATATCTATTCAACAAAAGTGGTTTGCACTGAATTGATTGAACAAAATAGGCTTATAGATTCAACAAAAAAAAAGAAAGAAAGAAGACAAATCCTAAATTGTTTCAGTATGACTCCAGTTTGTTCATGAGATATTTTTATTTTATATTAAAAGATAACTGTTAGACTTTTTATGTATATTAGTACTAAAAACCACATTCACAATTAATATTGAACCGTTTTCATACATTATAAAAGTGGTTTACTGTTACTAGTGGTGTATACAAAGGATCAAACTTGTTGATGGTCACAGTTCTTACGATTTAGCTGCTTCAAGTGAATATGATGTATATATATATACACATATATGTATGTGCGTATGAACCCCTCTTTTTTTTTTTAAACTTACTCAGAAATAAAATATTCTTGTCTTGTTTGAGCAAATATTAATATTTATTCTTATCTTTGATTCCATATTTTTTGATCTTGCATATAAATCAACTAGTAATTATAGATATTGATTCAAAAGTCGTTTCACTGAGTTGAAGAAATATTTTTCAAACCTGTATACACCTAGACTTTTCTTATAATAATGTGTTATTGTAGAAAATAACCAACATTTGTCATCACTTTATTTCACGTTTCTCCATCAGGTAATCATTTGTTTTTCTAAACATCCTCCTTAAAGTCCAGCTGTTATTGAACTCTTTTTAATCATACTTCTATTCAGTCATTAAATCTGCTCGTTATGAATTTCGAAATTATCTTGTTTGAAATGTACTGTTTTTTTATTTCAACAATAAAGATTTTTGAGGGATTGGTTACCTGTTTATTTTTTGATTTGTAATGATTTATTTATTTTCAGTATCATAGCAGAAAAAGTTTTGCAAAGCATATTATTAATTTCAGCTTACTAATGTGATATGTAAGTCTGATTTGATTCTCCACTCGGTAACCTTACAAACTTTTATTTACAGAAATTAAGGATAACGAACATAGTTTTGATATTTGACCTAACTACCAGAACACACTTTCCCAAATCCAAATTTGAAAAACCCCTCTCTCCAAAAAAATATAATTTAGTAGCACATTCGATAGTACTTATTTGATTAAATAAATATTAATATTTGTTTATCAAAGTATAGCAGGACATTACATAAAATAAGAATAAGTGGAATTTTAAGTTGCCTAATTTTAGATTACGTATCTTAGCAACCCAAAAAGTTTTCTTACTGTTTACATCCTCTTAAATGTGTGTGTGTGTGTGTGTGTGTGTTGATTAACATCTACAGTAATTTGAATACAACTTACGTTCCATTTGACATGCGAAAGTTAAATAGTTTTTATTAGTATGTAATATACAGCATCAATTTGAATATGACATTTCTATTTCTAGAGTATTTTGATGGACGACCTTGGTTGGCATGAATAGTGAATGGTCGAGATGTTGTGCATTTAATGCTGTAGCTTATTACCACTGTCAACATCTTTGGTGGAGAAATCGTTTGTGTAGGGATTATGTGACACGAGTCCTTTTGTGTGTGTGTGCGTGTTTTTTTAGGTGCAGTCTGGAACAAATTTTAAGAAGATATTCAGTACATTGATATTAGATATTACCTGATAATGTTAAACGGATGGTGTTTGGCAACGTCTTGGTATGCGCCAAAAATAGGAAGACTTTTCTTCCAACAAGGTGCTATGTAACCTTCACAGGCCTAGCGTATAAACCACCTTGTGTTCAACCATGCTGTTTTGCAGTCCTTGGTAGCCTATTGGTTAATATGTCGGGCTGGGGGTTCGACATGTGATGTTGTTGAATACGCTCCCGCACTTTCATCTGTGGATGCGTTATAAAAGTGACAGTCAATCCCCATTATTAGTTCAAAAAGCCAGAGAAAGTCCTTATAGCGATGGTTATTGCTAGCTGGTTGTCTTTTTCCTTCTAGTCAGTAACTCAAATTTAGGGACGGCTGTGTCCGAATCTTAAAGGTCTCCGACCTGATCACGTAAGATGACAATCATGTTGAAAATTTTAATACCACAATTCCTAGACAAAGATGAACCAAAGCGAATGTAAACTATTTACCGTGCTTAAATTTTTATATTCATAGCTGCAAAAGAGAAAAAAAAAGTTTGGGTTTGTTTATATACAGGATAGAACACAGCAGATGGATATTGTTTTTCAGCTTTACAAAAGTTGACAAAAAAAAAGAATTTTATGCTAAAAAGAAAAAGTAGTGCTGAGTGACTGATGACAAATGATATTTAATGCAAGTAAAAGCTCAATGAGACTTTTAACCAATGTTACATCAGTAGAGTTAATACAGTAATGAATGATGCGTAAAGAGAACTACTGAGTATATATATAGAGAGAAATACAATTTAATGAATTATGAGAGAGCTCATTAGAAATTTTTTAAAGTTATTATTTATTCGAAATATTGCTGGTCAACGAATTAACCAAGTAGATAAAGTGATCATTCATCTTGGCTTAAACTATCACCTGAGAACAATAGGACGTACATGTATCTCGTTTAAACTTATTGTAGAAAATATGTTTTCGACCACCGTTTAATCTAATTCTCAAGGATAATTCAAAACCGAATATACACTTACTTACTTTTAACTTCATTTATTGACTGTTGTTTAATACGTATGACCCGACTGAGCAACACCGCCGAATACTTCTTCAAGTAAAATGATAAAAATTCCTCCTCTCTCTATTGTTTTCCCTTAATAAAATCGGGTTATCCTTATAAAAGTGTTGTATTGTTTTACAAGTGCTAGAAGTAAACGTTATAGCTACGTTTAAGGTTGGCCCGTGCTGTTCATCAATAATTATCTGTTGTGATTAATGGCTTTAAGCCCCCCAGTGGCACAGCGGTATGTTTTCGGACTTACAACGCTAGAAACCAGGTTTCGATACCCGTGGTGGGCAGAGCACAGATAGCCCATTGTGTACTTTTGTACTTAATTACAAAAAACAAATAATGGCTTTAACTTTAGCGGACAAAGTGCTAATATATGATCGTACCACAGTGCAATAAAGTTCGATTACTGTAACTTTTAGACATGTACAAAATGTAGTACCAACATTGAAAAGTAGAATATTATAATTGAAATAAACACAATGTTTGCATTGAAAAATATGTTAATATAACAGAAAAAAAAAGAGAGATTTGGTTACCTTACCGTAAAACCATGTTGTTGAATAAAATGGAGAGACAATTCACCGAACACACTAATGACAGAATTTGTACTTTTTAAATATTCCATTAAGACACAACGCTCGTATCCCATGGAACCGCTAAAGATGATTCAAATACCCTAAAGCAATCCTGCTGACTTTTTGTGCTGAAAATACACTGCCAAATAAATTTATTAATCACAGATAGATATAGATATGCATACTTGTTCAAAAGCCACTCCCCTTGTTGGAGTACACAGAATGTAGTGAATTGTTGGATCACAAATACAGATCCAGATTTAAATTGTTGTGGGACAGGTTCAATAGTGAAGAGTTCAGATGATTTTTAGCTATGGTTCTATAACCAGAAGAAACAAAAAATCATATAGTTAAAAAAATGACTTTATTGAAAAGATTGATGAAACTGTGCAATGACTTTCAACAAGCTTCATAAATTCAGATGTTGAGTGGGTTATATTATAATGATTTTGGAGTGTTACTACGTTGTTAAAGCTCATGTCGCAATGTCCAAGCATACTCTACATAACGACCTTAAATTTTGGCAATAATTCTGCAGCATAGTTTTCATTGCAAAAGGCTCTATCGTGAGGCTGTCATGCCCCCAACCTATCACTCCTCCCTGCTTACTTCCATAATCCGTCTAGTGTAGGATGACGATGGTTTTTAATTGTCCATTTTAACAATTCGATTGCCCAGAAACTTGACTGGTATGCTTTTATGGAATAGTATGAATATCCGTTTCATTCTCCAGCTTTTTGAAGTTAGCAACACTTGAACAGATTTATAGTGGAAACAATTTGTGTACATGTGATTTGCGACGCTTTTCCAGACAGAGATCTTTCTTTTTTCCACCGAACTGTGTTTGTGGAGTCTCAGCTGTTATACGATGTTACACTTTGCTTATCATGACTTCTTACAGGTCTCTTTCTGGATGGTTTTAGTTCCTTAAGTTGATCCATACTGATTTAATTTCCAATGCCATCAAGTTGGAATTTTAAATCCTCGGTCTTTACACTTCTTTATAATCTGGATGTATGAATGGTTTGCATAGTTTAAATATAACGTACTCGGCTCTGAACAATCATAGCCTTTCAAATAGCTTGTAATCGAAAGGTCACAGGTTCGAAGCTTACCCACGTCTAGTCTTTGAGCAAGATACTTTACCACGGTAAAATCTGCTTCACTCTATCCAGCTCTAAGATGGATATCAACTAATTACTGGAAGTTAACCTGCATTGGTCTTGCATCCTGTTCAGGTGAAATATCAAAATATTATCATCCGCTTGTGTCACAGGAAACCGGAGCTAAGCATCAGCCCTATGTGACCTTTCACCTGAGCCACGAAAATGAAAGCATTTGTAGTGTAATATTTATATCTTATTCATTGTGATGAAACAAGAAAAACTAAGATGAAAATTAACGGGCAGAAAACTGACCATTCACATGCAAACAAATCTAATCTCTGAGATGAATGCAATAATAATTAGGAATCAACTTAAATGTGCCCCATTTTTAAAAGGTTATTTGCATTATTTTCAATTTTTTAAAATATTACTCTATAACAGTGTAGAACATATGATGCTATTTTAGTGATGTGATTGTTCTGATATTCTTATTTCGAATAAAATCATTATATTATAAGAACTTTAAGCTAAAAATACTTTCACTATATTATCCGCTTTAACTGAAATAAAAAATAAACAGTTTCAACAAACATCTGTAAACTGTGAAGTAATAAGTTAATAAATTGGAATACACAAAAGACACCGAGTTCGTTTTAGTAGTCATAGTGACTACTAGGTGGCGAAACACATGCAGTTCCTATTGTGTGACTGAGGAATGTGACACTGTCTATTATCAAAGAGCAGTAAATACACAGTCACCTAACAATTGATTAAAAACTACGTACACGGGCACAAATTTTCTTTTAAAAGCTTGTTTATAGCAACCATCATAGAAAAATAAAGTACGGTCGAACAATCTCGGACATGTACTTTTGGAAATATTTATTTTCAAGTCAGTCTTGATTAACTGTTAATAATTACGAATCACAGGTGAAAAGCAATTTTGCGTTAGGTACTGCCACAGGTAAGTCTGAGAGTCCTGATTAATACTATTGCTGAATGTTAAAGAGCAGTGTTATACCTTTCTATTTAAGGGTGAAATGGCTTAATTGCTGGTAGCAATAAAAACACACACAAAAAAATCTTTCAGCTTTTCTAAAGAGTTTACAAGAAACAGTTTAAAATGTTTGTTTGCATCATAATTTTCTTGCAAAGTTGCACAAAGGGTTATCTGCGCATAACCATCCTTAATTTTTCACTGATAAATTAGAAGAAAGGCGGCAAATCAACAGCACCAACCGTTAACCCTTACGCTAGTTTATCTGACCGAATAGTGCATAGGATTTGACTATCGGTTTTATAACGCAACCTCAGCCCCAAAGACGGAGCACGATTTTGGGCAATGGGGTGCAAAACATGAACTTACGATTTCAGAGTTTCGGTACGCTAATATTAGGCCACGCCCAGTCTCAGATTTTAAAGTAAGAAATAAAATAATAATTAAATGAAAAAAAAAGGCTATTGAGAACTGAATCAAAAATCAAAAGTAACA